CCCTTAAGTACATCCTTATAAAGCAAAGCACCGTTGAAAGAGTGACACCATTGTGCTGGAAACCGGGTCCAGCGTCCCATGTCTGCTCAATTTTCCTTACCAAACCCTACAGCAGGGTTGGGAACAGGGGGAGAACCACCGGGGGGCACCAGCAGAGTCTCCCTCCTTCACACCTTGTGATGAGGGTGATGTATGTTTGGTCTGCGTTGCGACATTGATTGGGCTAGTCATTGGTATTCTAGCATTCTGCTGCGCTGTCTTGCACTACGTGATAGAGGTCAGTATATCTAAGTCTTCCACTGTGTTACAAAGCACCATTTTTGTATGTATCAGGATGTACACTGCTTGTTGAGATTCCACTAGCACTGCATTGTCCACTCAGTCATTTTCATCACATTGCGGATCCTCGGTTGTATATGTACATCGCCCAACTGGGTATGTAACAGTTGGATTGATTGATTGATTGATTGATTAGAGCACACTAATAAGCATAAAAAACCACGATTTTGACCTCACTGCCGAAAATTGATTTTTTTTTCTTTTCTTGGATTTTGTTTTCCCACTATTTCTGTTGTGGAAAATCGCAATAGCGCAACACCCAAAATTTCCGTTTTCATTTTTCTTCTGAAAACTCTAAATTTCGTCGTTGGAAATCCGGAATATCTTGTTTTTTCGAAATTTCGATTCCCTTTTGCAATTTCCCGTTATTTGGAAATCCGGAATATTTTCTTCTTTTCCGAGATTCGTGTTTTTTGAAAACGGTACGGGAAATCCCTCTTGTAGTTACCATTTTCCAAACTGCACGTACTCTCATCTAAGTAATTCCGAATATTTTTTCTTTTCTTTTCGGAATTCTTGGTATTGCGAGGCCACAGCCTCGATGAGCCCCTTTCAGGCCCTGTCAGCAGCACGTCGGCCGCCCTAAGTGAAGGCAGGCTCGACGAGGACCTGAGGGCCTTGTTTCGGCCACCACGCAACTAAGGAAATTCAGGCAGTTGCGCAGCGCCAGTTGGTTGAAAGAACCCAGGCCCTGGGCCGCCTGTTTGCATATATCGAAGGAAGGCCCTGGGCTGGATACGGGATGTGGGTCAAACACAGGCCAAAGGCAGTTGGGCACAAGCAACCACCTCAGGCCCTGGGCCTGATTTGTTTCGGACTGGGCCTCAGCCTACCGGGGCCTACCAGAAGCTTCTTGGGAAAGGCCCAGCGCAGCCTGGGACAGAACACAGGCAGGCCACTTCCATATAGCAAAGGGCCTGCCTCCGCATTGGACATTCGGGTGCTGGCTGCATGCTGCGCAAGCGCTGCTGCGTTGAAGCTGGCCAGCGCTCACGCGCTCACGGGCGAGCTGGAAGGAGCAGGCAGCCATAGCCGAGCTGCGCTGCTGTGAGCTGGGTGTGGCGCAGGGTGGTTCTCGGGTGCATGTGGCATCTGTGTGTTGGGGAACGAGGTTGTGAGTGATGCGAGAGACATACCTGGTGCTGGAAGCGTGCGGCATTGGCCGCTATCTGCTCGTACGTCGGGAGAGCTGTTGTCGTCATCTTCGGCATTGTAGTATAGGCTAGATAGGATCTACCATCTGTAGTCTGGGCGCTGAGCGCCAGATAGGATATCAATATTGGTTCTTCGTTGATGATGATGATGAGACTATTCCAGCATTGTCAATTATGAGCTTTTGGTGTACTCTTATTTGGTGAAACTCGTGATGCAATTCTGCTTTTGGTTCGAGGTCACGACTATCTGGTCTTATGTGTATGATGCTGTTTGATTGCTGAAGTTCGCTATTGCTCATCTTCCTTGCAATTTGGTATCAGGGCTGTGGTACGTTGCGCTCATCTGGCGCTTGTCTTCTGCCTATGTGGTACATACATGCGGTCTGCTTGGTGAGCGAGGCCGTAGGCGGTGTGTAGTGAGGAGGGCGGAGACAAGGTGTGGCCACCCAGGAGGAGAGGGGAATCGCCAGGAAGGCTACGGTGTGTATATGGGGCATGGTTGTCAAGCGGACGTCCGGATCGGGATCCAGACAGTCCGGTCTGGATGTCTGGATCCGGTGTCCGGTTTGAGGTGTCCGGATGGGCCCCATTTTGAGAAAATTTGAAAAAAAAAACTGGGGTCCCCAGGCAATTTTCCAGTGCCTGGTGGACCCCCGAAAATTGTTGGTGCAGTTTTTGGTGGACCGTTGGGCCAACCGGACCGGCCCTGA